ACAAATCTTTGACATTATTAATTCATTTGAAACAAAACAGCTGATCGACAAATTAAACAAATCGTCTACTTCATGTGAATAATGTTGTTACACAAACATACAATCTTGATTCTTTTTTACTTGTGGGTGTATTATGAGTTTGCAGTTATGTTCGCACCAAGCCAAGTAACTTAAGCACTTTAATTAAAGATCAGACTTTCTTACCCAGACCAATTTCAGTCATGAGCAATTATATTATATGTTGTTTTAAGTAAAGACTACATCTTTTAATAGGCTACACATATTCATAATGGGAAATTTTGACGAGGGTAATCTTCCTGAAGGTAACTTTAAGACTAAAATCGTGTATTCATGGAAGTGCTTTTGTGGTTAAAATATTGTTTTTGTTTTGTTTTTTTAAGCAGCATTTTTATGACCCTCAAAATATGCTACATAGGCCTATTGGTTTGATATGATAAAGAGTTTTGTTAAATGTGTTTTAAAAAATCTTTAAATATAACTACCCTATAACATACTTGAACACTTATTAATTTACTAAATAAAATACAAATAGAGCTAGAAAATTGCTGGACTGCTTCTCTTCTAAGGATTTATTATTACTGTATTTAATTTTTGACGTTGAGCCAATATATAACACGATGAATTTGTTTTCTAAATTCATATGTAATTTTGCGGGGTATTGAGCCGCACAGGTTCACTAGTATGATTTTGTTTATATACCATATTTTTATCTGCTGTCATTGGTGAGCGTAAAAGCCGAACCACGGGTTTCAATGTCTAGAGGAGAGAAAAATTCTGTGAAAGTAGCACTTAAACTTAAGCAAGATCATAAAAGTGTATATTATTTTTATTTAATTGAATAATTTACATTACAGAGTTGTTATTATTTCAGCGACCAAATGTCAATGGTTTGTATTAAAATTGTTTTTCGTAAATTATAAAAGGTATGTTTACGATATTGTTTTAACCATTAACGCCCCCCCCCTTCACCCCTGGAAGTAAAAATAATTTAGTAAATGGCAAAAAGGAATGGCAAAGGAGGAAGGTGAATCGATCGCGCAGGTCAAGCAAGTGTTGTGTTGTGTTGTGGTAGGTCGGGGTAGGTCGGGGTAGGTCGGGGTGGGACGGGCTCACAGTACCGTTGTTCCACATCCGTCGACAATGGATCAAGTTTATAAGAGTAAATATGTTTGTTCTTGTTAAGGTAGATTTTTTTAATTCTGAAACGAATAAGCATATACTATTAAGGCATAGTTTATCAATAACTTTAAATAGGATTTTAGCGAATTTCCCATATAGGGAATAGGCTATTACCGTATGTCTCGTGGTAAGACTTGGACCTGGAACCGATTTATTTTTTTGTTTTGAGGTCCTCAGAGGCCAAAAAACAACATCCGTTCAAATTCATATATATATTACTGTAGATGTTTATATATGAGTCCGTTAGCGCGATAACTCGAGCAAAAATGATCCGATTTTCGAGAAATTTTGTAGAAACGTGTAAACCCTCGTTTATTCTAACGAGTTCGCGAACCAGCATAATCGGACTATGGGAACGGAGGTTTATGGGGGGTTTTATTGGGTGAAAATTGATTTTCCCATTTTTGACCCTAAAAACACAATATATCTCTCCAAACCATTTTGTATAGCTTAAAAAAAAAATAATTTTGTATATTGAAGTGTTGTTGTATACCCAACGGTTACGGAGATAGTTTAAAAAATTGTAAATTTAAAATTACCATGTTATTCTTATGGAGAACTAGCTGAACCCGGCAGACGTTGTCTTGCCTTTGACTATTTATAATCCCGCGGGCTTTGTCCCGTTTAACTTCTTAATTTTCAAGATGATCTCGTTTGTATGACTCAATCACGTCCTGGTTGAAGTTCGTTCGCTACGCTCACTCACCTTTAGGTTGGAGCTCGTTCGCTGCGCTCACTTGCCTTCAGGTTAGCTCGTTCGCTACGCTAACTCGCCTCCAGGTTGAAGTTCGTTCGCTACGCTCACTCACCTTTTGGTTGCAAATTAGCTGTTGTCATAAATGTAAAAGAAATAATAGTGCTGCACCCTGTTGGTAATCCTTGTAACTTTAATGCTATTGAACATCACAGAACAGAACCAACTTGTTTAATTGAAACAGCTGTTAAGATTCATTAATTCCATTTCTCATAAGGTTAACATGGGAAACTCCAGAGCCACTGGGGCGGAGCCGATTGGACGGATCACGAAATTGATGGTGTATAAACCTATTCCATGACATTCTACACGTATGTACCAAGTTTCGTGGCAATCGGTTCAGCGGTGTCCGAGTTTATCACTGCCAAACAAACAAACAAATATATATACAAACATCCTCTTTTATACTTATAGATAAATAAACTGTAGTAGTTTGCTTGTTTATTGATATATTTAAACCAAATTTTTTAATAGGAAATAAATCTGACAATTTTTAGGGAATATTTTAGTAGAAATCCAGCCAGGTAAATGGAAATTCGCTCAGTCTGCAGGTTTGCTGCGGCGAGGGTATATAGTAATAATTACCATAGATTAAACATACTAAAACATACTCTCTAAGTATCATTCTCATGGATCTGCTGAAGACAGTTTTATTGTTGGTTCTCTGGTGCCACTTAGATCGTGATTTGTATGCAATTTTTTGTTATTTAAGTTATTTGAAACTGATCAAATCAAACGATATAATTGTAAACAATAACTCGTCCCCTAGTTATATACCGTAACCAAACAGTTAAGTTCAAATTATAAAATTAATCCTAAAAATAATAGAAACAAAATTTTGCCAGCACTAGCACCCAGTGTCACCAACACGAATTTAGACATAAAATCATGCTTCAAATTTGACATTGGATGGGAAGTATACTTGAGTTGGTTAGTCAATGAGATAACCCACTGCAATACTTCATTTGTTTTGTAAATTCATCACATGCAATGGCCCCGTTCTCACCGAACCAAATACCATTTAACTTGAACTGTGATTGGAGAATATTGCTTGATGCGGTTTGACGTCTCCTAGAGCCACGTCTCCCAGCGCCACGTCTCCCAGCGCCTAGTCTCCCCAGCGCCGCGTCTCCCCAGCGCCGCGTCACCCCAGCGCCACGTCTCCTCAGCGTCACGTCTCTTCAGCGCCACGTCTCCCAGCGCCACGTCTCCCCAGCGCCGTGTCACCCCAGCACCACGTCTCCCCAGCGCCACGACTCCCCAGCGCCGCGTCACCCCAGAATCACGTCTCTTCAGCGCCACGTCTCCCAGCGCCACGTCTCCCCAGCGCCGTGTCACCCCAGCACCACGTCTCCCCAGCGCCACGACTCCCCAGCGCCGCGTCACCCCAGAATCACGTCTCTTCAGCGCCACGTCTCCCAGCGCCACGTCTCCCCAGCGCCGTGTCACCCCAGCACCACGTCTCCCCAGCGCCACGACTCCCCAGCGCCGCGTCACCCCAGAATCACGTCTCCTAAGCACCGCGTCTCCCCAGCGCCGCGTCTTCTCAGCGCCGCGTCACTCCAGCTCCACTTCTCCCCAGCGCCGTGCATCCCAGCGCCACGTCACCCCAGGACCACGTCAACCCAGCTCTACGTCTCCCAGCGCCACGTCTCTCCAGCGCCGCGTCACCCCAGCGCCGCGTCTCCCCAGCGCCAAACGGGCTGCCTAGCATAATCTGACAATGTTGAGAGCCGAATTGGAATTCACAAAAGCAACGCAACACGGTAAAGGCGTGTGCCTAATTGAGCATTGTATATGCTCATCACTGAAATTACGTTTATTTTACATACATTTCATTGCAGACATGATACATCTTGAATTCTAAATTATTAACATAATGAAAACTGTATGTTATTTCAGCTTACCGACTCTCGTACTGTTGAGATGCTCGCTGTTAATATTGAATGACTATGTAGAGCCACTTATATATTGCTAGAATAATTTGGTTTAACGTTACAAATCAAGCCCTGTAATATAAAAACTGCCTTCTTGTTTTTTTACACTGTTACATAAACAAAATTATGCACAACAAATTTTGAAAAAGGCATACATACAAACGACATAAGGAACACAAGGAACTGTTTTACAAAGTAGTTAGGCATAAAATAACAAATTTTAGTAACAAGTTATGCATGCAATGAGTCAGGCAGCAGTAGGTCCTAACTTGTTCACCTCCTGGCCTTTCCTTTGTGTTTACTGCCCTTCGTGACTCCTCGCTGCTTGGATATAGTCGCCGCAGCATACAACATCACTGCTCGTCTGGTAGGGTAGTTGTCCTCCAGTCGTACCCTGACTCTCCCCCACGAGCCTCTGGTCCTGCAGTAGGTCTTGTCCTCCACAGCCACGACAAGACCCGCCGCTGACAACACCTCCCGCATCTCCTGGACTGTAGGATTGTCCACGGATTCGTCCTTCGCGATCCTCCGACCCTCGGTTAGATGTTTCCTACTGTCGATGTACGCCGGGTAGACACAGATCCATCTCTTCTGGTCATCGTCACAACTCCCTTTATGTTGGATCTCTTTTGTTCGGTTCATTGTCAAAGATCAACTCATTAAAGAAAACACATAACCTTAAACATAAGAAGAAATTTTAAAGGAATGTCTGGACTTGGCAACAATGAAAAGTAAACATAACAATTCGGTCTACTACGTTAACTACGCTATCAGTGTGTCAAACTTTAGAGCTTGAAATATTCGGAGTGGATATGCGAATTAGCTATATTAGGGGTTTGAGGTTATACATGTGTAGTTTAAGCTAAATAATCTTAATTATTAGGAATAAAACACCAGAGTATTCAGAATGAAAATGGTCTAACAAGATGCATGCAATGTTGTAAAATATCTATACTATTCCGTTATAACAGATGTTCGTGTGATCTATTAAATTGTCTGTATGACAAATTGCAAATGATTATAATTTATTTAGTAATTTTAAGAGTAGATTGTGCTATTTTGGGTCAGGTGGCCATATTCAAACCAGGATAAATGTTTTCTCGTTGCAGTGGTGCTGACGTCAACTCCCAACAACGAAGCTGAGCTACAGTTGTACCGCGTCATGCAGCGCGCCAGCCTGCTGGCCTACTACGACACTCTCCTAGAAATGGGTGAGTAAATAATTCTATCATATACTAGCTTCAGTATCCTAAAGTCACTACTAGTTTAGGATATGTGTCTCACGTCAAAACAGAGCACTAACTTTGAGCAGGCAACTTTCGATTATTGAATTAAGCACTGAAATAGCGGTCACTTAATAAAAATTTCCATCAAACATTGAAGGCTATAATCACGTCATCCAAGTCAATCGGAGTGCTCAACGAGTCCTTAGTAAAATATGACAGTGGTGTTTGCACTCTAGCAAGGAAAGTTGTAAGACGTCGGGCTGTTTGTCTCAGGAGGGGACGACGTACAACAGCTCTGTGACGCTGGAGAGGAGGAGTTCCTGGAGATCATGGCGTTGGTGGGGATGGCGTCAAAACCATTGCATGTGCGGAGGCTGCAGAAGGCTTTACAAGAGTGGCTGACCAACCCTGGTAACTACCGCTTGTATTAAACCAACTACCAATTATATCTACTTTTCCAAATTCCATTTATTACAACCATATACAAATATTGCAAATATTTGAAAACATCACTTCCTTTAGGTGTAATGAGATGCTTACAGTAGTAAGTTGATAAAAATAATTACAAACCACTACTACTGTGGTTTGCTATTGCAAAATGCTATTAATATTCCATCATCGTTCAGGATAGGATTTAATTTACATTCTATTCTGACGTAGATTGTAGACATTTATGACAGATGAGAGAATAGTTATAACGATTCGGTAATTGTAAAACATGTAAACGCCCAACATTGCTGAGTTTTCAAACAGGCTACCATCTCCACCCGATTCGTGTCACGGTTTGGATAATGATTATTAAAGCGTGCTAAAGCAAGTTACTGTTTATTATCCAGCTAAATAATGTAATGTTTTGTGTCGCAGCTTACACCCTCACATATCCCGCTATGCAGGGAGTCTATGCATTGAGGGCGGCCAGTGGCCATCAACTACTTTTTCAACTTTAAAGTGAAGTGAAGTGAACTTCAAATACTTTTTTGGACCCATGGAAATTTGCCATGAAGTACTGTAATCAAGCGTTTACCCTTAAAGGTGTTCCAACATTGTAGAGTTATTATCTAAATAATTTTAAATATATACTCCCGGGATGTAAATAAATGGGGGGGGGATTCGTTGGTTCTATGATCTTACACCGAGAATTCCATTTGAATTCAGAAACAAAGCTACTCTACTTTCACCATACCAATTTAACTTTAAACATATACATGAAGAGTATTTACTGTATAGTGTATACTGTATAGGCCATGTCAGCGTTGACCATGAGCGGTTCACTCACAGACTACTCTTGCGGTGCAGAGGTTTATAAGTATATGTCAGGCTTTTAATAGTATTTTTCGCCACACCACACAGTAAGCAACTGTTTTCTGTAGTCTTTTTTAGAGCAGAAAGTCGTTGTTTACATTACAGAAGTGGCCAGTAAAGCCAGTACGATCCCGATCAGTTTTGCAATACCCCCCGCCCATCGTAAAAATCAAATATTTCGTTATCTATTTCACTTAGATTGACGACTGTCATTGTGCAGAGTTTTGTAATATTTTACAAATTAATCTTTACAAGAATGTGTATTATAAATGTCAATATGATATAATAGCTAAGTCGAAAGAAATTATCTCAAATCTACATATGAGAAAATAGCATTCCATATTTTAGTGACGAAATTATTGAAATATTAGTAACGTCAATGATGCAGTTAAAAGTCGACAATTTGTTTAAATTAGCAAGAAACTTGTTGCTGATAGTAAGGCGATGATCGTACGCAACTCACCCGGGAAAGTGTTTACGCACATGAAATCTCGCGCTCGGCATGACTCGCACTGGAACCATAATGCTCTTGCCATAAATACCTATATACTTCCCTATCTTAAACAGACAAGTAATGAAAATAATGAATAATTTTTCATCAATAAATTTTGTTTGTAATAAATCGTAGCTTATTAACAATGATAGGTTTTCTACACATCAGATTACTATATTCACCGTTCGATGTCGTGCAGTCAATTAAATACAATAAAACGTCTACATTAAGAGGAGATACAATCCCTCCAATAGTTCATTATGATTGAAATATCATTGAAAACATGGTTATACGTAGTGAAACAACAATCATTGTAAGCATAGTAAGCACGTAAACCAACGGATCGAGGGATTTAAATCATCATTTAGGATATATATCACTGACTTAGTTCATAAAATAATTGAAGCCAAACAACGAGTTTTTACATTCGCATTCTAGATAAAGGTTAACACTGTTTGCCAAACCGGTACCCACGTGGCGTCGATTACTAGCTCACTGGTCGGTCACTTTTTGTGCCTCCGTATCTCGTTTTTGCCGGCGTAAAAAATCAAGGTTTCAAATAAAAGTACACGTGTCGTTGGTGACAACGTCGTTGGTCTGACTAGTGACCGGCTGACCCACATGTCTCATGTAGTTCACCACATTACTGTATGCGGTGGTACGCTAATAGATGCGATGTATATAACCATCCTCCTATTAGTTCTTTCGAGACTAATTTGTGTTCATGCTAAGAACACAATCTCTGAATCAGCTAGCAACACAATTAGATGTAGAATGTACTTATTTATATTTTTTTGCAAATTTCCCTATAGGGAAGTAGTTATTACAGTAATTCTCAAGGTAAGCCCTAGGCCCGGGACCGATTTACTTTTTCATTTTGATGTCCCTAGAGGCCAAAAACACAGTTCGGTCAAATTTTTATATATCTATATATAAACGTCCGTGAACGTGACAACTTGAGTAATTTTTGTCCGATTTTGATTAAATTTGGTTTTAAGGTGTAAAGCGGAATAAAATTGAACGAGTTCGCGAACCATCATGATCGGACCATGTGAACGGGGTTTAACGGGGGGTTTTATGGGGTAAAAATGGGGTTTTCTCATTTTTTACCCTTAACACAAAAATTTTATCAATTTTTCTCCAGACCTTTTTAAAGAGCTTAAAAAAACAAATAATGTAGCATATCAAAGTGTTTTTGTACGGTGATTGGTTACGGAGAAAATTCAAAAAATTGTTATTTTAAAACTCCCATGTTATTCTTATGGAGACTATTGTAAAATGTTGTAATTGGCTTGTTTATGGATATATTTTGATCAAACTTGGCAGATTTGTTTATTTCATACTAAGCTATTGATATTTTAATAAAAAACACACTTTATTAGTGTCCATGTAGCAGCTAACCTAGATACTCGTTAAACATAAATGTTCATTTAATAGATTAATATTGAAAATCAATCCAGGCAAATGGAAATTCGCTTAGTCGGCAGGTTTGCTGCAGCGGGGGAAGTTTTAATGCTAACTGAAATAATAATTGCATTTCTTGAATTTCAACAAATGGAAGTATTGTATTGTGATGCTGGGGAGTAAGATGTTTTTTGTAGTCTCCTCGATTAAAACGAAACATACGAACGTAGTAGGGTCGACTGCAAGGGGTTTAAATACTTAATTAAAATATATCTGGACATTTTTGTCCGTAAATCTGAATGTATATGCTTACGCTATTTAGCTGATGCTGTGCTGTACTCTGTACTACAAACAATGTTTGGTACAATACATCTCCGGACAGTTGCGTTGTCGCTCGTCGGTCAGTCGGGCCCTCTCCCCTCCCTACCACACGGAAGGGCTCTTTTTTAGCGTCCACTAATCTTCACTTCTCGTCCATTCCAGTTAATATTCTTAGAGAACAAAAACTTGAATAGCTCGTCGGGAACGGAGCGGCCTCTAGGCGACTATCGCTATAAACAATAATAATACACGAGTAAAAAGTGTATAACGAACTTCAAGAGAGAACATTGTTTGGCAACAAAAAATTAAATTACTGTCGTACGGTAAAAAGCAGTCGTATATCCGAGCGGCGGATATCGTTTTTACCTCAAAAGGACTGGGCGTTTTTCATTTATTCGATCGGGAGAGGTTTTATGTCCGAACTGTATTGGGTCGTGCAGTGAAAGTACATCGACGTGTACTTTGCTCTCGGCCCCGATATACGTGACATTACACTTGGGTACCGGTACTATGACAGGGGAGGGAGGGGAGCCACCCCCAACCATCATCGAAAATCGTAAAAGTTGAGATTTTTAGGCATTTGAAGCTCTGAGTTGAGATTTTAGGAAGTACTGTCGACTTTTCAAACCAAGCAGACATCCATTTATACAGAAGGGTTCTGTATAAATTAATTAACAATTAATTAAAGTAAAAAATTGTTGGAAATTTCATTATGATGTAATGTTACTGCAATAGTCTGTAATAGTCTCAGCTGTATTTATTACCTTAGATGATTCGAGTGGAATATTAGAATAGAAAATATCCCCGCTGCAGCATGCCTGCCGATTAAGCGAATTTACATTTGTCTGAATTGATTTTCAATACTTTAATAGCTTACTTTTCGATGAAATGGCGACCATACAAAGTAGGTATTTTAAGCCAAGTATGAATGGGGATGAGTGTAGGATGAGTGGCGCGATCTTGTAGTCTTGTTAGTGACTAAGGCGGACATATTCCTTAGACACAGCTGTTAATTAATAGCCCATACAGCTAATGGCGACTAAGGGACCTACAGTTTATAGTGGAATCCGAACCACATTTTTGCCTTGGTATTGGTCTAATTATCAGGATAACACTGCGGATAGTCGTAGTACTCACTTGTACGGACGTTAATCCACACCAGAGAGTATCGCATCCACAGTGCATGCCTATAAATATCCACCAAATCTATTTCAATTACATTAGGTTTAACTAATAACAACAATAACAATAACAATAACATTAGGTTATTGTAACACCTAGGTTTGCTGCTACAAGGAAAAAAATCAAGTGTGTTTTAGTAAAATATTAACAGCTTAGTATAAAATAAATAAACTAGCCAAGTTTGATCATTTTAAATTTAGGCTACAATTTTTTGAATTTTCTCCGTTACCAATAACCGTACAAAAACACTTAGACATACTAAGGCCGATTTAGATCCAGGACCGATTTACTTTTCCATTGTGATGTCCCCAGAGGCTAAAAACATTATTCGTTCAAATTTATACACACACACACACACACACACACACACACACACACACACACACACACACATACTTCATGAATGCGATAACTCGAGTAATTTTGATGAAATTTCGCTTGAAGTTGTAAAGACTGGATAGGCTACACTTGAGTGAGTTCATGAACCAGCAGGATCGGGTGATGGGAACGGGGTAAATTTGTAATGTTTATCTTTGAAACATGAACATTCCCAATCTTCATTACAACTATGTTGTAGAGCTTAAAAAAGGAAATTCCCACAGGAACTGTACATTTAAGATTCCTATGTTATTCTTATGGTGAAAAGAAAACTATTTTAGTTTGCTTGTTTTTATGACGTATGTTGATAAAATGTGGCAAATGAAACCAC